TTATCCTTCTTCCAATTTTCTAGAATCTATTGACTGTGAGATCACTTCCTTCTTGCTTAGATTGGTGTTGTTGCCTCCTCAGATCGATGTTCTTCTTCTTCTGGATCTCATCTCATCACTGCCCCTCTGTCCCTCTTTGAAGCTCGCCTATGCTTCCTTCTTCTTCTCGATCTCACCTTGCTATCACCCCTCTCTCCCTCTTTGAAGCTTGTCTCTGCTATATCATTCTTCTTCTTCTTCTCGATCTCACCTCATTGTCGCCTCTTTCTCCCTCTCTAAAGTTTGCCTCTACTACACCTCTCTCCCTCTCTGAACCTTGTGTCGCCCACCCCTCTCTCCAAGCTTGTGTTCGTTGATTGTGTCTCGTGTTCATATTCATTGAAGAAGAAGAAGAAAAGTCTCCGAGCATCGTGTCTATTCATCATCAACCACACCTAAGCCGTCATCTAAGTTTCAAGCGTTATCCTCCCTCAACTTTAGTTTTCTCAAATCAAGAAAATAGATTCACTAAGCAATATGGTTCGATTTCATGATTTCATTGTTTCTGATTTCACGAAGCAATATGCTCATCATTTTCTAATTTCATCATTTTTGGGTACTTGATTTGTTGGGTATGTATTGCTGTTTCTTGACTTGGGTCCTTCAAGAAAATTTCATTGATCACTCTGATTGTGTTTGCCTTCCTCTCATCATGTTTTAATTTCATTGATTTTACTGGGTATTGTTTCTGTTTCTTGACTTGGGTCCTTCAAGAAAATAGATCACTATTGTGTTTGCCTTCCTCATTGTTTTCTGCTTGATTTTCTGGGTATTGTTTCTTGATTTGTTGGATATTGAAAGCTTAGGATGAGCAAAAGAACAAGGGCCATTTTGTTCAATTGTTGAAGAATATCAAAGGGGCCCTCTTCGAACTCCTTTTGAGCATTTTTTGGGTTCTTGATTTGTTGGCTATGTAGCAAGCACAAGGAGTGCAAAATTTGGTAGGCACAAGGTGGGGAAAGGTCAAAAAAAAAATTTTTTTCAAAGAAAAAAATGTGAGTTGGATGCTGCACGGGCTTGCAACATCAACACCAAAAGTCAATTAACTGTCAACGTTTTGCTTTTATTAACCTATAAGGCAATATTATATTACTTTAAAAAATATTAGGGACAGCATTGCACTTTTAAATAGGATACCAATTGCACTTTAAAAAAAGCTTTGAAGGCACATTTGCACATTAACCCTAAAATTGATTTGTGGCCAGTGTGTATATATTAATTAATTAATGCAACCAGTTTCAAAGATCACGCATGATATATTTTTTAAAAAGATTATTCAATAAATTGAAGGTTAAGTCAAAAATAATAAATAAATTGAAGGTCATTTTGTTAATTCCCTTCTTTGCTCTTCCTCAGTTTCATCGCACTTGCTGACCACGGCCTAACCCTCTGACAATCTAACCCCACTCTCTTCTTCCTTTTATAACTCTCTCATGAAATCAATTATCATCATAGTCTTGCTCCAAAAAATAGGATAATATAAATTTTAGTCCCTTATATTTGGAAAAAGTTATCAATTAATCTTTTAAATTTAATTTTTATCATTTTAGTCTTTAATATTTAATTTTGTTATCAGGTGAGTCCTTTAAGTTTTATGAGACAAATTAACCCTAAAAAAAGCTAACATGTAAATTAGGTGGCTTGCGTAGAACATAAGAGGATAAATTGACACACATAAGACAAAACTTGGTATCCTAATTGCTAATCTGTTATTAATTTTTTTATTTTAACTTGCGAGTGATGACAGAGTTTGAGAAGGCAAAATGAGGTGAGATTGATGCTTGCCATGGTGACAGAAAACTGAGGTGACAATGACGGCAGAACACATGACATCGATCACCACCTGTTTGGCTTAGATGAAGCCTTCTTCATCTGCTCCGTCATTGTTTAGTTTTATTGAGCCATTAGATTTCAACGTGAGGGTTGGAGCCATTTAGATTCAATCTCACTTGTCAATCAAGCAGTGAAATTCTCACACACACGTAGACGTAACTCCAATAGAATTAGAAACCCAATTGTGTGTGTGTCTGTATGTGACTATTTTCTATTTGTCTCTGTCTTCCTTAACATCGTCTAGATATTGTCACTTAGCTGTCAGGTTCTGATGTGAAAACGCGGTTATTGAAATAATGAATGAGACTGTCAAAGTTGTGAGGCTACCGTCTGTGAGAGAAGTATAGCAACACTTTTGTTCTGTTTCGATTGAGGTCGATAGAAGGGTCACTGCACCATACTCTAGGCTTTTGAAGTTTCTCTTTTCAAGCATTATAGCTTGCCTGTTTCAATTAAAAGAAAAGACAAATCAGCACCAGTTCCAATCATGCCACGAGCAAAAAGTGAAATTGCCTTCAAGATGAACATGAAAGTCATGCACTCGTAAAATGCAAAAACTCTTCGTAATATAAATTCATTACAATAATAGATAAAAAAAATGATTTAATAATAGTACTGTCGGGAAACTCCCAGTAGGAAATCTAGAGCAGAAGACAATGAAGTATATAGGAGTTGAACTAATACGAAATACTCAACAAAGCACAATAATAAATAAGTAGAACCAACTAATGCAAATATCATAGCTCACAGTGAATTTAGTACTGTTATTTAACTATGTTAAATTCAAGAGTAAGTACAATAAGCAATGCCCAAAGGTAAAGTAAATATGATGCCACTGGAGATCAACATAGCTAGAGTAAATGTCTTTGAGTCAAGAGTCACAAGGTCAATAATTAAAAAGAGATCTTCCATAAAACTAATGGTAACTACACCGGTGATTATGCTTTGCTTGTTGCCTATAGTCAATCCCCATTTTTTGCCTCTTTGCTTCCTTCCTTTTTTCCTTTCTTTTCTATTAAAGTTCTCCCCTCTCCTCTTCCCTGCAGAAATTATGAATATACAGCCAAATATTGTAAGTTAAGTAAAATGAAGAGATGTTCTTCATTGTCGTGGATTGGGGGGAAATAGAGACAACAAAGGAAAACGTTATTTAGATCCATTCTCCTTCATTCGATCATACCATGCACCATAGTATATAGACAAAATTATTAAACATTTGATCATACCACATACCATAGTTCTCCATTTGCATGTTGTATTTTGTCATTTGCATATTGCTTCTTGCATTTGCAGTTTGTTTTTGCACCAACTGCATACTCTATCTATATTTACAAATGCTCTCCAATGGGGTCGTGTAATAGGGATGAGAAGGAGAAGAACCCATTGATTCGAAGTAGAAGGCAGATAAGGAGCAAGATTTCAATGGATACTTACAGGAGAAGGAGAGAACGGAGATAGATGGAGGGTTGGCACTTGCAGGAGAAGGAAACGCGAAGATGGATGAAGGGTCGCCCCTACATTGTTTTTTATTTGGCTTTCTAGTTTTCTGAATATTATTTCTTCTCATTATCCAAGTAAGCATCTTTCTTCCTATATTATTAATCTACAAGGCTGCTAGCTTATCATTCCGTTGACCACATCAACATAATTTAACGGTGTCAATTTTTGTCAAAAATTAAAGACTACTTAAATAAATGAATCATTAAGGATTGAAATGATGGAAATTAAATTTAAATGACTAAATTGATAATGTTTCCAAATCGTAATGAATTAAAAGTTACATTCTCCAAAAAAAAAAAATGCAGTCGTAGTCATTCTCATTCGATTCTCTTTCCACATGTTCGTTGATCGTCAATAAACATGCCCTTATTCTACGCACTCTTCATTCTCACTTCGTTTTCCCTCGCGTCTTCTCTTCTCATTCTCTCCTGCTTTGTCGAAAAATCCCTCCGGGACCCAACTTGCCCTCTGGTTAAAGGCACCGTCATGGCGTCATTGGCCAGCTCTGCTATTTCACTAGGCTCCATGACTATCTGAAATTGCACAAACCCATCAGAATTTCTGTCTTGTTGCTCCCGGCCATAGCGAATTGTACGCCACAGATGCGCGAAACATCGAGCACGTGCTCAAAACCAAGTTCGATATTTACACCAAGGGCGGGTATGACCAGGAAATCATGAGCGATCTTGGATTGTGGATTTTCGCGGTCGATGGTAACAAGTATAGGTAACAGAGGAAGCTTGCCAGTTATGAATTTTCCACGAGAGTTCTCAGAGACTTTAGTTACTTTGTCTTCAGACGGAACTCCGCCAAATTGGTGGGAGTTCTCGGATTTTTCTCGTGCCGATCGGATGTTTGATGTGCAGGTCAGTCTTAAGAGTTCGTTTATTTTAATACAAAAGTTACTCATAAGCCGGATATTATACAATGTGGACACCTGACATGACAAAACATTTAGTGGTTAAATGCATTTTCAAGTGTTGTGTTATGCTTAATAACCCAACCAAAATAGGCAAGTGAACTATAAGGAAACTGAGAACTTTCTTAGAAGATGCACTTCTTGTTCGTTCTTTAGGACACGTTGATGAGATGCACCTTGGACTCTATCTTTGGAGTTGATTTTGGAGTGGAATTGAATTGCTGGGAGGGATCAAGCAAGGAGGGGAGAGCATTCATGAAGGCGTTTGACGATTCAAATGCTATAGTGTATTAGCCACATGTCGATCCATCCTGGCCGCTCAATAAGTTTGTAAACATTGGTTCCGAAGCTGCCCTCAAGAAGAATGTCAAGTTAATGGATGATTTCGTACATCAGTGGAAATTCATCAGGATTCAATGAGTTCAATTACATCCGTTACATCCTCGATCTTTTCTTTATGCCATTCAATGAATTTCATTTTCACTCAAAACTAACAAGAACTCTCTTCTTTATGCCATTTCAACACTATAACTTCCATTGCATCCTCATATTTATTTATTCGTTAGTTTTGAGTGAAAATGAAACTCTTCATCGTGTAACTTAAAGTTCTTATTTGATAATGTCAAAACCTATAGTTTCCAGAGTGATAAGGAGGATATGATATGAAGATTCTTGGTAGAGAGCAAGAACCAAGAAGGACCCAAAGAATATGAATTACCAATATCTGCGAGATATAATTGTGAGCATGATCACTAGCAAAGATACGAGTGCGAACACTCTATCATGGTTCTTCTACATGCTCTGCAAGCATCCTCTGGTACAGGAAAAGATTGTACAAGAAATCAGGGATGTCAAATGTTGCCAAGAAAATGATCTTGACATTGATGGCTTTATGGACAAGATAACAGATTTGACCCTTGAGAAAATGCATAATCTTCATGCAGCATTGACCGAGACCTTAAGATTGCACCCTGTTGTCCCTATGGTGAGTTTTATAAACTAACTCGATACCACCTTTAATTGTATATTCTTAAAGACTCTTGTTACCGCATGTTACATGTTCATTTTGAGCCATTAATTCCACAATTGCTCAGTCAGACAAACTAACCTGCATAATCTGCTTACATTGCAAATTGCGTTCTTAGGTGCACATTTTCTTCAACTCCGATCATGTTATATGGTACTTAAGCGTTAGAAAATGCATTCTACAATTTGATGTACTTGCATTTTGTGTGGTTATAGGATGGGAGAATGGCACAAAGAGACAGACATTCTTCCTGATGGCTACAAGGTGAAGAAAGGGGACATAGTATTCAACATGCCCTATGCTATGGGCAGATTGTCTTACATCTGGGGGGATGATGCTGAAGAATTTTGACCAGAAAGGTGGCTCAGAGATGGAGTTTTTCAACCCGAATCTCCATTCAAATTCATAGCTTTCAATGTTAGTATCGTTGGTCTCTCAATCAAGAATATTTATTCAATGAAGTATGGTATCTTGATTCTTGACTTTATCTATGGCATTGCGGGCAGGACTTTGCTTACTGGCAGATGAAAATAGTATCTATGGCTATTCTTCGCTCTTTCCGGTTCAAATTGGCAAATGAAACTAAAAATGTGACTTACAGAACCATGTCTACACTTTACATAGACAAGGGTCTACCTCTTTGTGCCGTACCAAGGTAGAATAGTGAAAAGCATAACTATTGACGCAAAATAATGTTATAGAACCATCATATTGTGCATAATGTGTGTGCATTTACACAAAACTAATAGTACACAAGTTTTTTGGTTGGGGGAAGAACTAGGTCATAGTGAAATATATTTGACATTTAAAAGCAGAACAATGTGTGTGCATTTAGACAAGACATCTAATGAGTCTGAAATGCATTACAAAGAATATTGTAGATTCTCAATATGACATTATGACATCAAACTACGGGCTTTGGATATAGGACAATTCAACAGAAAAGAAGGAAAATAACTGAGAAGGGAAAAGAAGATTAAAAATGCTGCAGAAAAGTGTTAGGGTAAAGATTGAAACTATGAAGATAATCACATAATGATATATTAATGTGCCCTTGATTTTATGATGTCGAAGCTCATTTCACTAGGATCAGTTGCTTGCAACTCAAATTGAATGCCATCAAGTTCCCTCTTGAATCTATCTTTGGAGCTGGCGTACACCATCTTCTGTCTCACTTTTGATGAATCCGGAGACCTTCATATCAGAATCAAGAAAGTGTAGTTAGTTAGGTGGACAGACATATAGATTTTTTTTTCTTCTTTTTCCATGTATTGTGAGAAAAAGCAGAGAAAGCAAGAGATTCTCTTTTAAAGCGAGTTTCAGACAAGAGATGTTTCTTGAACGAGGTTACGTTCACAGGAAATTAAAAAAACAAATATTGTTCAGTGTCCATATGAAAGTTTCATGGATTTCCAGAGGCATTTTCAGAGATCCTATATTAACTACGACACCAAAAAAAAAAAAAAGACTGAATTTAAAATTACCAGGCGACGAAGAAGATCTTGCTCTTCTGGCAATTCTCATCAGTAATGAAATCAAAATCAAAGATAGCATAACGACACTCGTTAGAAGGAAGAGATGCATTAAAATCTTCGTAAGTTGCATCTGGGTTTCCAACTTTATCCACCACTATTTCTTGATCTTCAATCTTGAATACAATGAAACGATAGTTTCTCTTTGCTTTTAGCTCTTGAAACTTGAGTTTACACTCATCATTTACAGCCATTCCAGACGCCGCATTTGCCTAACCCAAATATATTTTGCAAACAATAAAAAGTGATACGAGTATATTAAATAATATTGAGATATTTAATTTAGAGAAACTGCATTATACAGAATTAATTTGAAATTAAGTTTCTTTTGAAAAAGAGCTAATGCAAGTTAGAAACATTGCTTTCATCTCTTTTGTTTGTATTGACCAAAAGTTCTGACCCCATGTCAAAGATCATTTCAACTCAAAATCCTACCCTGTAATTTTTACCATGCTCAACATGTTTAAATATCTTATGATTTAGTTTGTGTAACAAATTTTCATCTTATGATTTAGTTTGTGTAACAAATTTTCATAAGTTCTCTTCCTTCCATACGCTCTTATCATTCAAGAGGGGCATAAAGAGTCAATAAAAGCATGAAAATTGTATATCAATACACAAACTATCACCTAAGAAGGCCATTATTTTGGTGAATTTCCATTACCTCCTTTAATTTTTCTATTATACCTGTTAATTTCTTCATAGTTAGGGTTGTATCTAGTCTTTTCTATAGAAAGAAGAATAACAACAAAGAAAATGATCAAGAATTGAGGGAACGTACCATGTTGTCTCCGACAAAGAAAAAGGATAACGAGAAGTGATAAAATGAGGAAGGAAATTAGGAAGAAAGTCAGAAACAGAGAGGTGGGCGAGAGAGAGAGAGAGAGAGAGACAGAGGAAGAGATCCTTATTCAGGGGAAGAAGAGAAGGGATGATTAGCCTGAGACAAAAACGGAGAGGAGGAGAATTTTGAGGGGGCAAACAAAGGTCGAAATTATTCTAACTTCAGAACGGATAATCACGATTTTATGTGTATGTCTATCTAAAATTTATACGTTATTATTGGAAAGTAGTTTTCATATGAACAAACGTTGTACAATTTGCTTTCTTTTCTTTTCTCAAATTTTTACATGAATATAAATTTTGAGTATCCCAAATTCTCTCACCCGGTGAATATTCGCACCATAGCTATAAGATTTCATAAACTTTTGAAAATTTATGCTCGATCAGAAATATATAAAGTTAAAAAGTGGTTTATGAAAATGCACTTCAATTATTTAACAGTCATATGAATTATTAAATTAAAATACAGAGCATAATACATAAATAAAGCTATGATTTAGTATTCTCTATATCTTATCCCAACATCTTTAATTAAATTTCGGGTCAAACTAATAATCTAAGTCAACTTTCACTAAAAAAAAAAAAAAACCTTAGTCAACTTATTAAAAAGTCAAAATTTGCCCAGAATCAGTTCTGTTTGTTCTTTGTACTGTTATGGGAATTTTTCTTTTTAATTTATTTATATACAATCTTTAGTTTTTCAAAATTTCCGTTGTATCAAACATCATGCATACCATTTTGTGTCAGTGTAACAACTTTTTTCTTCGTCTCTAAGCTGGAGTGCTTTCTTGAAAATAGTTTATAATTGATACAAAATTTACACATCGAAAACAAAATGGAAACAAATAATGCCCAAAACAAGCTGAGATATAAATTATGATTTGAAGTTTACAACTTTGGGACCCTTCGCTTTTTCATTAACTTTTTTAGATTTGGAGGACTTGTCAACATTAGATACTTCATCCGCTATGAAATCATCCTCAAGATCATCCCCGCTCACAAAGTTGGTCACCTTATTTCTGGGCCTTTCTACAGGTCCACCTGCTGTTAAAAAAATTAAAACATGGAAATAATATCAAACTTAAAAGCTTAAAATTTAACATGTTTTGTCATCATCAAAATATTTTAGACAACCTTGGGGTTAACTATTAATGACAATTAAGGACTTTAATAATCAATATTACTCTCGAGGACTGTAGAAATAATGCATCATTCATTGATGCTTCTTCAAGTTACCACTCACGCTTGTTAAAATTACATCATGATCTTCCAAATATCACAACGGTTGTCTATACTCGGCACTAGCAAATAAAAATCATACCACCTGATTTCTATGGTGTTTTGAGAGAAAGTTTGATTTTTAAAGATCCACACAACATTTATCACTTTAAAAATGAATTCTTGCACTGACAGACATTAGACTAGATGGATCAAATAAAACAGCTAGATCAACACTAACAAGATCCATGGACTATCATTTCCTTTATTACTCAACCTTCCATAAATATTTGATCCCCGAACATTTTATAGACTAGATTCTTAACATCTAAACAAAAGCTTACGTTAGGCAGATGACGCAATCTAATCTCAAATGAAAAATTCATAGTTTATCAGGCTAGCATCGCCAACAGTCTAGGAGTTCAGCATAATCCAACTTTTTCCAAAATTAAAAACCTCTAATTTATGCAGGATAACCAACTGCTCCAAGATGTCCCAATAATATAGCACAGTACAAATTAATATCTCCGCTGGAACCAAGGCACTAGATTTTAGAACGGAATGTCATTATTCCTGGACATAGATTATCTATAATGCAAAATTGCAGCTTTTACGTTAAATACAGAAACCTGGTTTTTTTTTTTTGGGGGGGGGGTTTGGATATCTTAGAATATAAAAGAATCAAGCATCTTGTAGAATTCTTACCAGCATGCACAGCCCCGTTAGCAGCAGCAGACTCAATTTTCCCTTTGTCAGGACAATCTTTTGCCAAATGTGTCACCCCCCACATATCTTACAACAACCGCCCTAAAGAAAACAAATAGTAATAAGAGAGTAGCCTCAGTTCACAAGGGAAATGAGTTAATTCAGCAAATGAATAAAATTGTCTTATGCTTTAAGAGGAATTGTCATACCCCCTCCCCAAAAGAAAGGAAAGGGAACAAAAAATACACACATATATATAGATGTAAAAAATAATCTTTCGAGTGGGGAAATGAAGACTTATGAGTTATGTCACAATAAATGCCTTGGACAGGATCGCAATACCTTTGGATAAATGCCATGAACATTTTGAGGGCAGTCTCTGCTCAAGTGCCCACGTCCATTGCACACAAAGCACTCAGCAAATTTTGTTCCCCCTGCATAACCAACAGAACAATTCTATACCATGAGAACTAAGAAAACAAACGAAAGAATAGATTAAAATACCACCAAAATTAGTTTGCAGAGTTAAGATTTTATCAAGAGAAAGAAATAACGACCCCACCTTGACAGGGATATTTTAAAATCCTACAAAATAAACCTTTTCTCACGTGACTAAGAGAAGGTAAATCACCTAGGTTCTTGGGCATTACAACTAAGAAACACATCCCATGTTGACTGATTAGGCATTCTATAGAATAAAATCTTATTTGATCCTTTACTACTAGGTCACAACATTCAATTAGTTGTATATTCACAAAGTAAACCTTTTCTCACGTGACAATATTCACTCCTTGAGAGACATGCCATGTATAACACAAGGCCATAGCAGAAACCTTTTTATCTCCAGGACAAGAAGCATGCACGGATAAATTCGAAACTCAAAGTAATACTGCAACTTCTTATAGTGAATTCTGAACACCTTCAGCAAGGAATAAAGCTCAAGACGATCATCAGCATTTCACGATAACTTTTTTTCTGGGTACAAAGTCAGTGGTAATTAAGAAATGCAAGACACTTATTCAGATCAGATTAAGGCCTCACCTACTCCCGGAGTCATTGAGGATTTTAATTAAAAACAGCAAACAGTTTCTGAACAATAGTATCAACTGTCTATTGAGCGATGATGCAAATATGCAACCACATTATAAAAGACACAAAATTGTTAAATACCGTCTAGAAGAGGCTGTGGACATTTTGAAAGTGAGTGTCCAGTTTCTCCACAATTATAACATATCTTCCCATCACTGGCGCCATCTCTCCCCTGAGGGCAATTCTTGGCTCTATGACCGCGCTGCCGACAACGTAGACAAATCTGGAAGGACCCCGCTAATCATTAAGACACACCAACGAAACAAATCTGGTTACATTGATTTAATCATCCTGTTACTCTTTTGCGCAGAAAATTGTCTTTCAGTAGGCACCATTAATTATTAAGCTGAGGAGACTTGGAGAAAGCAATGTCAAAGCTATTAAGTTTCCTTACAAGTAGGTTCTTTGGTGGTACAATATTTACCAAAAACAGAACTAAGCTCGAACCTTATTCTTTTCCCACTCAGCTTTTACGGGACAGGACTTGGCAATATGATCTTTAGCTTTGCAGATGAAACAACTCTCACCGGGCTTCATTCCAGGGACTCTAAGCGGGTGTTGCCTGAAACTCTTCTTAAAGGGTTTATTAGTAACACCAAGTTCTTCCGATTCACCCTTTTTGCGCTTGCGCAAATTCTTCGTTTTGTTCTTCTTCTTCTTCTTGTCAGGGTCTTTTGGGGGAGTCGGCTCTGGCTTTGGAAACAGTTCAGGGTGCTCTGCTTTGAATTTTTTCCGAGCAAGTCGCTGCCTCTGGCTCACCATCTTTGTACCCGAGACTCACAAGTCACAATCTGTGTAGCCGCGAGATACTTCGAATCTTGTTGCGGTGGAGGCGGAGGCGGAGGCGGAGGCGGAGGCGATGGCGCCACCACGCTTAGCCTGCGGGAAGGTAAAATGGATGTCTTCTCTCCAAATCCAGGGCTTTGTATTGGCCCACAATATCGAGGGCTTTGGTAATCTAAAAAACATTTTCTTGGGCCATACACAGAAGGAAACTTGAATTCTTGCAACCCCAGTTTTTGTTTCCAAATAAGGCTATAAGAAATAAAGTTCTAAAATTAAAATTTTTGAAAAAGACAGTTCCAATCCGATTTTTTCCCCAAATATTACCTGTCTCACACGCACACATAAACACATCAACAAGCGCACCATAATCCTTAATATTAAAAATATAAAATTGGTAGCCACTTTTAATTTCAGATTCAAGAATGTAAATAAGTGTACTGATTAATTTGTTTGCCGTGCTCAATCCTTATACATTATTTATACAATTTATTGCTCCCCACCTTTTTAGAGTGTATGCAGGGATATCTTAATTGTCAATGTATTGATCATACTGCTAATTATCGTAGCTTTGTATTTTAAAAGACAAAAAACAAAAGAAAATAATGTAAAACGGAGGTATAGACTTTACGAATCATCAAACTAGATAACCCAGTTCTCACAACACCAGACAAAAACTATCATTGCTTGAAATTACAGTGTGAGGTATCGTTCTTTAAAAAAAAAAAAATACATCAATGTTTTACAATAAAACGATTTGAATGCAATTTTGGTTTGAAATGAGAATATAATATTGAGAGAATGACATTTAATGCCCTTTCAAAAACTTTTATTACAATAAAAACTCATCAGTTTTGAATTGAATATTATATTGTGAAAACATATACCCCTTTGGTTTTATTTATAAAATTATTTTTAACATATTTTATCAAAATTAAAAAAATTAAAATTCATTAACTTTGTTCTAAAATTTAACAAGTTTTTAAATTTGCCTCTATTAAATATATTAGTATATGCTTTAAAATATATTTTCTTTCTCCAACATTGAATGAAAGATAAAATGGGAAACTTATGTTGAAAATTTAATGAGATAACTTATAAATATGAAAAAAAAAACTTATCTTCCTACATTATAAATAAGACTAAAGGAAGTATATATTGTTGTTAAAAGTTAAACTTTGACTTATATTTTTTTGATAGAGTTTTCTTAAAAATTTAACAAGCATATTCAGCTTTTAACAGCAACGTGTACATGTTTTCACAATAAATATTCGGTATAAAATTGATAGGCTAGGTGATAAAATTTCTTGAAAGGGCATTACATGTCATCCTCCCTATAATATTTGCTAGCACCTTCCTCACTGAACAAGGGAATCCTAATTCCTAAGGTTGCTTGGAACACCAGCTTCTTCCGATACTTTTATTCTTGGTGCACAGATTAAAGATGCCCATGATGATTAGAGAGTGCAACCACATACTGACTGACGCTCACATATTCTCAGTTCAAGTAAGTCTCTGACAAGACCCTTTGCTTGTTCATGTGTTGATGCTAAAGAGATATTCATCATTCAAATATAGAAATTTTTTACATGAAAGGGGATGCCACTGATGAAGCAACTCTGTAACCATCCATACAAATTCACAACAACTCTTTTTTATAATGATTGATCCTTGAAGCAGTTGTACACTACATTGGATCCATTAAAAAGAGGCACTACAAGTCTTTAGCTTTGTCATGAAGGTTTCTTTGATCACTACCTCTCTTCTCACTTGACGTCTCTTTTGGATTACTCCTCTGCCTCTTCATCTTCATCAACAAGGCCCTACTTGTTTATATATATGATGCTTCGTGGATCCACCATCAATGTCTGTTTGGAGTATAAGAAAAGTTTGGATAGTCAATGGACCCCCTTTACTACTCTCGGTGCTCTGCAGGGAGCAATTTCCGACTTAACTGTGTACCCAGAAAAAAAGTTGAAGATCTATTTACTTAGTACATTTAATATATATATTTTAGGTTTAAAGCGTGCTTGAAAGGCTAAGATTCGAGTTACAATATTTAAAAAAAAAAATGTTTGGACCGGCTTATTTAAATGCTGATGCGTGTAAAATTGACTAATATGACTCTGATATTATAATCCATCCAGATTCCAGTGTGAGTTTTGATATCCTCTCGATTTTAAATTCCTTCAACTTGTCGCAACTTTAATCTATAATCATTGGGTTAATTTAACAACTTAGTTATAAAGTTGTAATTTAAACAAAGAATTATGCAGCCCTGTAATAGCAACTCTGCTCGTTCCAATTGCTATAACTTATACTTGAGATAAATGAAGAGAATTTTTTGAAAAGACCCAAATCTGACAGGGCATCAGATTGACAATGAACATGATTATTTGAGGGAAAATAACAGGTATATATATATGGAGAATAAAATGAATTATATGCAATAGATAATATCAACTTGTTTATCGATCCGATCTTTTCACTAACTGGTGATAGTCCAGGTAATGATTGTTTTATGGTGCACGCACGAACTGATCCAAGAGGAATTGACACTAGCCACTGATTACCCATTGCCAGGAAAGGGGTTTGTTCTAGTTAGATATATTAGTTAGTTAATTCTTTAAGGAAGTTATGTGAAATATGGCTGGCAACTATTTTATAATGATTTAATTTGTATCCCGAAAAATTTTCGCACTATGATTGGTTAGAACGCATCGAAATGTTTCCTTAATCGAGACTGGATTCCTGCTTGGTTGGTTTACATGTATGTAATTCATGCATCATCTGAACAATGAAATGATTCAATAAATCCATAAAAGCTGATAGAATTTATAAATTACTAAACTAAATTGTTTCTTCATGAGTTCCCTGCAGAGAACATGGTGATGTTTTGTCATTGAAAATCCAATCGTGATCTCAATAAATAATTGTAACCCTGTCTAGTTAGCAAATAGCTGTATGAAATAACAAAAATATGGAAAATGAACTTGATGATGAAAAGATTCTCAATTGTTAACCTTCGTCAAAAAAATAAAATTTCATATTCATAATTGGACGAACCTCATGAAATTATAAAAAAAAAATCATGAAATTATTAAAAAAAAAAAAACAGGAACCTCTTCACGTGTATTATATGAAGTCTAAGGTAATTTATATTGTTAATGACTTCTAGAGAGTACATTTCATCATGGATATCATGCTTCATATATATTGAAGTTAGAGTGAATCCTTTTGAAACTAAAATGAACCCCATGTATTTGCACAAAACTTGTTGCACAGTATTTTTTTTTTTTTTTGGGTTATAAAAAGCTGGAGCTTGTTAAATATTTTGTAAATGATACTATAATGAATATTGATGAAAGAAAGTGAACTCCTTTCTCCGTTTCACTATACGGGTATCAGTGATGAAATCATCTTTATATAATCAAGACAAAGTTTAACGCCAATTGAAAGGTAAAAAAACTTGACACTGATGAGAAGTAATATGTACTATGCATGTGGATATTTCCGTGGCTTTAAGGTTATCCTCTTGTCATTGATGATATAGGAAATCAAATACTTCCTGCATTTCAAATTATATAATATTTTTAAATAAAATTTTATATATCAATAAATTTCATTAAGTGCACTTAACAGCATAATCTTTTTAAAATAAAAATATAAATTTTAAAAAATACACATAATTTAATATATTGAAAGAAAGACATAAATTAATTGTAGAAAGATAAAATGAAATATTAATTTATCTAAAATATTTTATATTTTAAAATGAAAAACTCATTTAAACGTGATTTATAATTTATGACAAGGGAAGTAGAATGGTTGCTTGTAATTTTTCGGATTCGCTAAGAACACCCCATGCTCTGTTGTGATTCCTTCTTATTCCTTCTTGTGGTGGGGTTTGGCCTTATATGACCTAAAAGAAATAAAAGTGTGGCTCAAGATTTGGTTGCGAACGCAGCGACACATTAGTGCCATTCACATGACCCAGCCCGCCATCACGTGCCACTCTTGCCAGGTTTCATGTGCCGTCCCCCAACTTCCCACTTGTACAGTTGTACTATGAATTTCGCGCGTCCTCTTCACTCGCCATCCCACGAGCGTGCCCTCCCTATGCCCTGTCTTTCTCATCTCTCAATGCGTGTCTCTGGCCAAGAAAACAAAGATGTCTCTGTGTGAGCCAGGCGCACCTGAACAATCTGATTCACTCGTCATCTAACCAATCCACTCTTCCCGCGCGTTTCCATCATTCGATCTGAACATGATTAACGGTTGAGATTTTGTATACGAATGAGCATGAGCGCCGGTGATAACTACTTCGAGAGATACTAAAATTTTGGCTCCCTTTTTAAAATTTAAATTCCCCCTAAACCTAACGGCGTCGTCACACTTCTCGTCAACTGCCATTTACCACTTAACGCCGCTAAAGAGACGTTACCTCCCACCTATAAAAAACACCCCGCTTCTCTTTCATTTTATCAGACTTTGCTCGTCGTCTCTTTAGTCTTTACTGTCTCTGGATTCTCTTTAGTCTCTCTCCAGTCTCCCCTCCGCTCAATCTCTGAAACCAGTTCTTCCAAGCTTGGCAGCGAAGATGCGTGAGATTCTTCACATCCAGGGAGGCCAATGCGGTAACCAGATCGGAGCCAAGTTCTGGGAGGTGGTTTGCGCCGAGCACGGCATCGATTCAACCGGTAGATACCATGGTGACAATGATTTGCAACTCGAACGCGTCAACGTGTACTACAACGAGGCGAGTTGTGGTCGGTTCGTTCCTAGGGCGGTGCTTATGGATCTGGAGCCAGGAACCATGGATAGCGTCAGATCTGGTCCGTACGGGCAGATTTTCCGACCGGATAACTTTGTTTTCGGTCAGTCAGGGGCAGGGAACAACTGGGCCAAGGGACACTACACTGAGGGAGCAGAGTTGATCGATTCGGTGCTCGATGTTGTAAGAAAGGAGGCAGAGAACTGTGACTGCCTTCAAGGTATAAAGTTTGTGCACAGTTGGGGGTCTGTCTCCAAGTCTGCTTGGGAAGTCCTTGTTCTGAGTACTATCGATTGACAACTTGCATCTGTTTTAGTTTGATTTACAGATACTTGCATAGTTTATGGACTCTTGAATTGTTATAATGATTATCTATCTGTGTGATTGAGTATGTTAGTTCGTTGAGTGCGAATCAGTATATAAGTTCTTTGAATGCCAGCCTGGTAGCATAGCGTTTTAGTAATAATTGGTAGAAGATCGAGCCCGTAAATCTACATTCCCACGGAGATCTATTATTATATTGGGCTTTTATATTCCGTGTTTGTACCGTTTGAATTCTTTCTATGTGTGGTTTTAAGTGGTATAAACTATTTGGCGGTTGATCTGTGATGTTCATGTTTTAAATTGTAGTACTTCTCTGGCTGTTGAGTAGATTGTTTTTGGCTAGTTTGAGCTTCTTTTAGAAACGCAGAATCGGTTGATATAAGACACTAAAGTCTATGTTCCGGAACCTGTTCGTTTTGAAATGATTCCTTTCACTGGATATTTGATATCTATTATTGTGAAATTTGAATCACCAAATGAATGAACAATTCCAGCTATCTGTATTCGATTGTTTGCTTCAATAAAATTGATTAGGACATACTTCCTATTATTAATACTTGGCGGTGTTATTATTTTCAAAAGTATTTCAGTAACTGAGGTTTTGCCTTTTCTTTCAGGCTTCCAGGTTTGCCACTCTCTGGGTGGTGGAACGGGTTCAGGGATGGGAACACTCCTGATTTCCAAGATCAGGGAAGAATATCCCGATCGTATGATGCTCACTTTCTCCGTGTTTCCATCTCCAAAGGTGTCTGACACTGTTGTGGAACCCTACAATGCGACCCTTTCTGTTCACCAGCTGGTAGAAAATGCTGATGAATGCATGGTTTTGGACAATGAAGCTCTTTACGACATTTGCTTCCGTACTCTCAAGCTCACCACTCCAAGCTGTGAGTTTGTTTTTTGGTTTCTATTTAAAGTTGTCGTACTTCGGATATTTATGATATTTTCAGGTATTTCTGTTCAACCTCCAACTTTTCGCTCTTTGGTTATGCTTTGAATTTCGATCCCTCGATATCTGTCACAGTTGGAGATTTGAACCATCTAATTTCTGCCACCATGAGTGGTGTCACATGTTGTCTTCGGTTCCCTGGTCAACTGAATTCAGATCTCCGCAAGCTTGCCGTCAATCTCATCCCCTTCCCTCGGTTGCACTTCTTCATGGTTGGCTTTGCTCCGCTCACATCTCGTGGGTCACAACAGTATAGGGCTCTCACCGTACCCGAATTGACTCAACAAATGTGGGATGCCAAGAACATGATGTGTGCTGCTGATCCTCGTCATGGACGATATTTGACTGCATCTGCTATGTTCCGAGGTAAAATGAGCACCAAAGAGGTTGATGAGCAGATGATTAACGTTCAGAACAAGAATTCGTCTTATTTCGTTGAGTGGATCCCCAATAATGTCAAATCGACAGTGTGTGATATTCCTCCAACTGGTTTGAAAATGGCATCGACATTTATTGGCAACTCTACTTCTATACAAGAAATGTTCCGGAGGGTGAGCGAGCAGTTCACAGCCATGTTCCGCAGAAAGGCTTTCTTGCACTGGTACACAGGAGAGGGTATGGATGAGATGGAGTTTACTGAGGCTGAGAGCAACATGAACGATCTCGTATCCGAATACCAGCAGTACCAAGATGCTACTGCCGATGAGGAGGGGTATGACTATGAAGATGAGGAGGAGGAGGAAGCTCAGGAGATCTAGGCTTGTGCTTTCGACGTTTTTGCTTCTTATTAAGAAACATGTGTTGATGTTATGCTTTTCTCCCTCTACCTGAATATCTTTTTCGGGGGGCTTGGATTGCTTTCGGCCTTTGTTCGTCATAGCTGTAGGTTTTATTTCGAACCATATTTACATGACTAAATTTGTTGGCTTGTGGATTTGTGCTAGATTGGTATTTTAGGTTATATTCGTGCTATATGGGAATACCCTGCTCTTATGTTTTTGTAACCTCCCTGGCGTTTTCGGAATAGATTTACTTGAAGCATTCTTGTTCTGATTGCTGGTTTGCTGATGGCTTAATGGTGCAGGACAGAGTTATACTACCAATACTGTGTACAGCTCAAGCCCGCTTTGGTGTTAACTTGAGCTTCGAGGTTGTCCTTGTCTTTTAGGCTTAAAAGAAAAGAGATTATAAACTTGTTTTGGGTCTAAACAGGGTTGTAGCTGGCCCCCCTCCCCCACCCAAAAGAAAACAAAACGCAAAAAATATCTACCCATGATGAGGGTTCGGTATGGAGTATGTTATATGTATTAATATAATAGGCGGAAATGGAAGCTTCAACTTCAGATTTTTTTCAAAAAAAGTTGGCTGTTATTGAGTTTAGTGTTAGAGATAATTTTATCCTTAAACTGATTACGAAGGTGTATGAATAATTAAAAAGTCAACTTGGGATCAATTTATTTTTTAATTTTAAAGATGTGTTATTTTTATGTTCTTAACATTAACTCTTCAATTCTATTGTAAGTTTCATATTTAAAATTTTTAATTTTTTTTAATGGATCTCACCATTTTATATTTTTTATAATTTTAAAAATACCCCTTTCCTCTCTCTCTTCCCTCTCTCTCTCTCTCTCTCTCTCTCTCTCTCTCTCTCTCTCTCTCCTCTCTCTCCTCTCTCTCCCCATTCATTCTCTCTCCCCTCTCTCTCCCCCTAAAGCATAGGCATTCGGCCATGCGTATGCATTCCTCTCTTCCACCTTCCCCCTCCCTTCGTCCTTAGCCCCATCGCTGCCTCCCTTCCCTTTCCTCAAACTCTCATCCCCCTTGCCACCTCCTCCATGCTGCACTATCTTATTGACCACATCAAAACTAAATTCACCATATCAAAACAGGCACACTATGTGCATACCTTGGAAGCTGATGCAGTAGAGCATGATATTGACGGTGATGGTTATGTTGAGATGCAAGATCGTGAGACGCATGCTATACATTGTCGACACCATCCTCAACAGCTGCTTCGGCCTCTTCCTCGACCTTAAAAATTCATGTGGCTCTCCACTATCATCACCCCTATATCTGCGATGCACGCCCCCGACGGTGCCTCCTTTGTCATCATCGAACTCTCCCCGCTTTCGCTCGAACTCATCGAGTACTGCAAAAACATGAAGACCTCTAAGAACTACGTCTTCTCAAATTTCTGGCTCCCCAAAAAATGTAGCCTCTCCTCTGGCTCCTTCACCGTCGTCTGCTCCAGCTCCGTCCATGTTGTCGAACTTGTTTGTGAAGGGGACAGAGGGAGATGGGGAGAAGAGAGGGGGTTTTTTATATTATAAAAAATTATGGGATCTATTAAAATATTTAAAATTTAAATATGAGCCCCATAATAAAAAAAATTGACAGGACAAATAACAGGGTAGATTTAAAAATTTTAACATTTAAGGAATATGTTATGGGTTATTTGTGAACCATTGGGTATAGTTTAGAGGTAAAAATTAACTTTTAACCCTTGAGTTTATTGTTATTTTAATTTAATATTTTATATTTCTTCAATTTTTTTTTCCCATTTTCATGCCCTCCTCCCATTGATTCTATGTTGGTATACAAACGTATGCACAATGCCACCATGTGTATTCTAGTGTTCTTTCTATTATTATTTTTTATTTAAAAAGTAATGCATTTCTGAATTTCTCAATTGCAAAATTATTTTTGTCTTCATGATGTTTTTTAATTAAACGGACATATTCCGGCACATTATGTACTAGAAATCTAATTCTTAACCCATCCATGTTGCTTTCGCAAAACCTTCCAAGCTTTGCCAATTGCCATTGAGGGCAAATGGAGTTGTCTCAGCAGCCTCAAATAAAACTATTTTAAAAAGATCTTAACCCAAAAAAGAAAAGAAAAGATAATCTGACTTGGGTAATAATTAAAATTTTATTAATAAAGATTTTGTTTTTCTTTCACCATTATAGATAGTCCAAATTAAACATGCTGCCTTACATTCTAACATATTGCTGAACCAAAAATGAAGGGGGTAAGGCCACCTCTTATTGAGAAATGTCTAGAGGCTCCAAAGCTGAGGACTTTACAGAAGCTCACTGTTGAGGAGCGAAGTATTCAGCAACAAGACGGCGTAGGATCTTGCCAGTAGCAGTCTTTGGGAAAGAATCGGTGATGAAAACCTTCTTGGGGACTTTGAAGGATGCAAGATTCTTCTTGCAAAATCTTAAAACCTCTTCCTCATCAATTTCTGATCCTTCTCTTGCTATTACTGCGCAGTTTATCTGCCACCAACACCACTTTAACATATCAATACCTCTTTCAAGCACCCAAATTATCAAATGCTTAACTAGAATTAGCTATTGTGACGTATAGTTAAGAGCTTTGAAGGGCCAACAACCTTTCAAAAAATGTACAGTATATGCCTCTCTTTAGGGTGTGTTTGGATTTAACTTAGCAAAAATTGTTTATTTAAAAAAATTAATTAACAAAACGGGATGATGTTTGAACAATTTTTCAAAATTAATTATAAAATAGGAAAAAATAAATAATGGAGTTTTGCAAACTTGAGGGTGTATGAATAAATTTTTGCAGAGTTATAATTTAGGTTCCAACATTAATTCCAAATAGATATCGAAACATGCCCTTAAGCTCCACCATAACGGAGCTACCTTCGCATTCATGATCTCAAGCTACCTTCGCCTTTAAATATATACAGGACAAAATAGTGATATTTTTGTTTATCCCAGTGCAACGACAAAGTCAAACATTCGCGTCAGAAGCTTGCACTCTCCTCCTCCAGGTTAAAAAAAAAAAGGGCAAAAAACATATATGTGCATGTGTGGTGGTTTTTTTTTTTTTTTTTTTGGTGTGGTTCCACATTTATGCTGCCAAGGTTTCCACAGGCCATAAGAAATGGCAGGTCCAGGAAAGCAGGATCTAATATGTCAAATCGAAAATGCTTGAATAGAGCTGGCCCACTTGGAAGGGTGTTCTTTTGAAATCTTTTCATTGGAATAATAGGCTCAGGGCGTCATTTATAGGCTAAAATTGCATTTTCTAGTCACAGAATTAAAATTAATCCTTTTATTTTAAAATTTGGCTCATTGATGTGCATAATTTATATACTGCAGTGGATATTTGATATAAAAGATATTAATTAATTATCTGAAACATATTCTTTTTTGGAAAAAAAATCTGTAAATAATAATTTAATTTCTTAATCTGTAAATTGCTAAATTCACTTAAATTGAAGGTGGAGAATACAAATAGGGAGTTTAATAAAGAAAAGACATTGCCAACAAAAACAAACAAACAAACAAAAGAGATCATCTCAATAAGGAGGGTTATCTTGCACGCCACAAATGGTTGGTTAGTGACATGAATAACCCACGAATTTTGAGAGAGAAGTGACAAAATTTTAATGACTCAGCAGAACTTTTGGTTAGAGGCTTCCCGCACGTGATATAGCCTTTCTTTTTGGGAGAATGACAGTTAGATTTAAAAAAATAAATCAATGATAATTAAATCTCTAATACAAATTTTTTAAAAAATAAATTATAAATATCAATTCAAACATTTACAAATAACAATTTCTGTTATAATTTAAAAATTATATTTAATATTTAAATATTTATTTTTAATTGAAATTTCTGAATATGTAATAACTTAAATATATATTTTTAATTTATTTTAAAAAAAATTATTTAAAATTTAATTAATATTAATTCAGTATTTTAAAATTTAATTATCATCCTCCTTTCTCTCTCTCTCTCTTTCTTCTTTTGAACTGAACGAGGACCAAGTGTCAGGATGCAAAAGTTGGTGGTCCTGCTTACGCTAATTTACATGTAAACAAATTTCAATTTCTTGAGCCTCAAGAAATTTGCCCCCTAGTTGTTCCAGCCTCCCAGGCAGGAGTTCCACCCCCCCCCCTCTGAAAAGATTTTGATCCGTTTAGTTATTTAAAAAAATAAAATAAATTAAATTACATATCAATTATAATAAAATTCATTAATATATATTATAAATATAAAAATTATTAAATCTTTTAAAAATTTAATGAATCATAATTCTCAATTTTATGAATTAAATTAACCCTTTAAAATGTGCTCATATATATTCTCTTTAATCATTTTATTTTTACTTTTATATTTTCAATTCATTTTATTTCATGAACCTTAGATTCTTCTTTCACTGCGCACTAATTTAATCAATGTTAATATCTATCAAAATACATATGCACGTATTTTAGTGAAAATGCATTGCAATATCTTGTAAGGAGCCATGATATGTGCAGTTTTCAGCCACATTTTTGTGTGATATATAAGACCGACTTGTCTAATAATAAATGAAAACTATTTAATATATGGTCCTACAGTATAAAAGTTAACAAGACGGCGCTAGGTACGTTATTTTCGAATTTAATTGGACTATTTGACTTGGCATAATGTCAAGATTTTGTTTTTTATTAATAAATTGCACTTGTACGCTTAAAAAAAAAAAGCTAATTGAACCTAATGTTTTCAACTTAGTCCAAACTAATTTGAGGAAAAAAAATTCTAGTCAAAACTAATTCAAGTGAAACATATATATGTGTGTGTGAAGAAAAAATGACATATGAAGGCAAAAATTTTGTTAAAATTTTAGAAATCATAATATTTTGAAAGGTTAAATTATATTTTGATTTTTAAACTTTTTCTCAAGAAGCGCTAAACACTTTGTATTGAGAAGGGGCAACTTTGTTATGAACCATTTTCTCAAAAAACAAAAAATATCCATGTAACAATACAGAATGTCTAACGCTCTTTGAAAAAAATTTTAAAAATAAAAATATATTATAATACTATTTTTAGAACTATAAGCATATATAAATTATTGTTCGCGTATATTAGAATGATCTCTTATCCCATTAAAATTACAATTTTTAATTGTAATGTTGCTACTGAGCACTGATAGTTTTGAAGTTATCGGTTTTCTAATTTAAAATAAGAATTTTCTTAATGTGATCTAAGGATGATAATAAATCCAAATACGGAAATAAATGATTTACCCTCGATTGCAAATTGGGAACCTCGAAAGATGGGAAGATAGAAGAGAGAGGATAGGACAAGGGCATACCTCCTCGCCATATTTGGCATCTGGGACTCCAAAAGCAACAGCCTGAGCAATGTCCGGATGAGATAGCAGAACAGCATCCACTTCTATGGGCGATATTTTCTCCCCTGTATAAATCATATGAATCCCCTTTTATTACATCATTTTATAATGCCCTGACTCAACAATTTAATTCCACGTCTTTTCCCAATAGATGCTCCATTGCTCTGTTCTTTTCTGGCCCACTACATAGTAGTCTACATCTATAATATATTAATATGCATCACTATCACAATGCCTTCAGAACGGCCAAAAAAGCACTTGCTAACCTACGTGCCCTCACACTAATGATGACGCTTCATTTATTCAAGTGACTTCTACATTACATCAAACTAGTGCGCAACAATTTTGCTTCCAATTAGGTCAGAACTCGACAGGTACACAATTCACGTCACCCTTCTCTTGTTTAAAATCATTAATTTACCAGATTAAATCAAGGCCTATTATACCGGATTCCTAGGCAACTGGGCATTTTGCTCGCGGTTTCAGCACGCTAATTTTGACACAAGTGAGTAAAGTAAGCGGTGAAGCCCTGATTTCAAAACTAAGATTCCCAACAAATAATCATAAATCTCATTAGCAAAATCAAAACGGGAAATTACCTCCGCGATTGATGAGCTCCTTAATTCGTCCCACCAGATGCAAATACCCGTCCGAATCAAAAAATCCGAGGTCACCGGTATGGAACCATCCGAACTGAAACGCTGTCGTGTTAACTACCGGGTTATTTTTGTACCCTTTCGTCACATTCGGGCCCCGAATACAAACCTCTCCTTCAACTTCAGCCTTCTGACTCTCTCCCTTCTCGTTCAGTATCGCCATTTCTTGGCCCACTGGTTTCCCAACCGACCCGGGCTTGTGTGGCCCGTCCTCCGGCAACGGATTCGATGCCATCAGATGGGACGCTTCCGTCATTGCATAGGCCTCCAAAACCGGGGCCCCGAATGCCTCCTCCAGCCGACCTAATATGATCGGTGCGAGTGACGCGCTGCAACTACGGATAAACCGGAGTTTCGGATGATGTTCGGGTTTGCTCGAGTGACGATCTAGTATGATCTGATGTATGGTAGGGACCGCCGTATACCACGTCGCGTTATAGTTCCGCATGTCCGGCCAAAACGTTGAAGCTGAGAAACGGCCAGCCGACGGCAGAGCCACAGCGGCCCCGGCACAGAATGAACTCAGTAATCCAGCGATGAGGCCGTGGACGTGAAAGAGTGGCAGAACGATCAACGTCGAGTCGGACTCAGTGAGTTTGTACACGGACTTTATGTTCTGAGCCGAAGCGGCTAAGTTGTGCTGAGTTAGAGGCACTCCTTTGGGCCGGCTTGTGGTGCCGGATGTGTGGAGGAATAAAGCCACGTCAGAAGGGTCGTTAACGAGTTTTGTGGCCGAGTCGGATAGTGATTCCTTCTGAGTCAGAGAGATACTGAGCTCGGCGTCATCGGCTTTGGAAAGCGAAGCCGTCGCGTGAGGAATATTAAGCTTCGAAGCCGCCGCTTGAGCCGAACCATTTCCTTCTTGGGACGTCAGTAAGAGCTTCGACTCCGAGTCGGATAGGTAAAACTCAAACTCCTCGGCCGTATAGGCAGGGTTCAGCGGCGCAGCCGTGGCTCGTGCACGAATTACGGCCAAAAACATTATGACGAACTGAAAAATATGGGCAAAAATTAACGTGATATATATTAAAACAAATGGAAAGGAAAATTATCAAGAAACATGGAAAGTAGAAGATTTGAAGATTCCAAATAAAATAGTGTGAATTCATTTCATTCAATATCCTTATCCTTTCCGATCATCCAAACACTGAATACGCATAGAATGAAAAAGGAACCTCGACGGTATTCGGGAAGGTAAGAGCGACGACATCGCCGACGTTGATTCCGGAGGAGACCAAACGGGAAGCAGCGCGTTCGGTGAGTTCGAGAAGACGAGAATACGTAAGATCGAACTTGCCGGAGACTGAGATGGCTCGACGGGAGTGGAATTCGGCAGAGATTCGATTGAGCAAGCCGGTGAGTGTCGGAGCCTCCATGGTGTGGAATCGAATCAATCGAGGAGAGTTTCGGCGAAAACAAAAATGGAGATGAGCCAATTAAGAGAGAAGCACGAGAATGGCATCGGGACGCATCCCATCCCGAATATATAGAATGAGAGAGGAGGTTCATTCGGCGTGGCACGTTTTGATGCGTGGATGTCAAAACCACACGGTTTTGAATTGGAAAAATTTTTAAAACAGTTTTTAATTAATTGATTAGCATTTCGGTAAATAGGGAATAAGAACTCTACGTTTCTTGTGTCTACTTTATACTTGATCCCTTTGGCTAGGCATTTTCGATGAAGCTTGGTATGATTTTTGATGCTGAATATTCCTCCAGCTAGGTGGAAAAAACTTTCTAAAGCATTTTTTTTATTTCCTCTTTCTATACGACCATATACACATTTTTACCAGCCCAAAACACACACACACACACAATTGATGCACGGACAAATGAAAATTGAAATTAAAAACCCATAATATCGTAGGTCATATTTACTTAATAAAATAATATGAAATAAAATAGAATAAAAAAATAAAATTAAAATTAAAATGATTAAAAAAAAATAGATGAACACATTTATAAAGGAAATGAGTAATTTAATTTATAAAATTTAAAATCATAATTCATGAGATTTTAAAAGGGTATGATGATTCTAACATTTATATTATATAATATATATTAATAAATTTTATTATATTTATTATAAGAGAAATGATAATTTAATTTATTTTTATTTTTAATTTTTTAATTCATTTCATCCTTGAAGGGACGCATGGGCTGAGGTTTCCCCTCCACCAGAGACCGAACACTTGAAATAGCTTAGTTCAGAATTCAAATGGGGCTTCCAAGAGAAAGCTCGCAAAGTCAGCTTGGTCCTCATTGGGGGCTGGAGCTGCTGGTCTAGCTGACTGAAGGGCAAAGGTTTTAGCTCCCGCGTAATTACTAAAAATAAATTAAAAACTATAAAAAAATAACTAAATTACCATTTTTTTATGAGAAGCATAATAAAAAATTTATTAATATTTATTATAAATGTAAAAATTATTACATTATTTAAAAATATCATGAATCATTGTTTTCAATTACATGAACTAAATTACTTTTCTCACTTATGAATACATTTACTTATCTTCTTTAATTATTTTATTTTTATCTTTATTTTTTTATTATTTCCTATTTCATTCATTACCATTATTTAATAAATGTAAGGTTATATTTTGTTTTAAAAAAGATATGATATTTAAACAATGAGTTGAAAGGAAATGGGAGGATACAGGGAACGGGGGGCACAACATGGGATAGAAGGAAGGAAGGTCGAAGTTGGGTGGCCACGAGAGCCGGGCAGGTAGCATCCGGCCAGATGAACCCTAACTGTATGGTTCGTGTCGTCTCCGTCACTGTCAAGTGTCGATCCACCCCCAGCCACGTCGGCTTAACTGCCAAATCATCCGCTGCCGCCCACTGTCGTCTTGTCCGCTTCGTCGCCTGCCTCTTCCTGTTGCTTATTGCTAACATATATTGTATTGAATCAAAAATATAAAATATTTTAATAAAATCTCACTTCTTAATAAAATAATTATTTATTTTTAAATTAATTTTATTTTTTATATTTATTTTTATTAAAAACTTTATAATAAATATAAAATTATTTATTAATAAAAATATTTTTTTAAAAAAATAATAATTATATTTCATAAAATTAAAAATATTTTATATTTTTTAACATTTAACTTTTTAAAAAATATTTTATATTTTTAAATAAAGAAAATATATTATTTGTAATCCTATGAAAACATTCCATTGCGTCTAAAACATTCTTATTTAATCCCTTCATTCAAACAGAGAAAGATAAATAACATTAATATTAACAAAATATTTCAATTAAAAAAAATAATTAATCAAATCTAATGATTTTTAATAATATTTTTTAAAATTGATTTTAAGAAAATTGAAATTGTTTGAATGATTTTCTTGAATCAATTTTGAAAATATAATTACAATAAAGGATATTTCTTTTTATTTTGTAAATATTGATAAATTTATTAGGGAAAATATTTAAAATCCTTTGATCATACTTAATGAAAAAAAAAACCTCCTTGAACTCTTAAAATTAACTTTAAACTACAGGTACTGAAGTGAAATTAAAATATAAAGTAAAATTATCACATTGTTCCTCATCCCCTTTGATTCTCTATTGAAGTTGTTCATCTCTTTATATGAAGTTGTTTATCGATCTATAAAAAGTTGTTTATTTTTCTATATAAAATTGTTTAGTAATGACATAAGCAACTCTTATATGTCAACGAGTAATTAAATATAAGAAAATGAATAACTCATTTTACTATGATTACAACACTTGAAATAAAATTAAAATTCAATAATAGCACAAATAATTATTGTAAGTCAATAAACAACTCCATATTGAGAAATGAAAAACTTCAATAGAAAACTAGAGGAGATGAGGGACAATAAGGTAATTTTACTTTTCATTTTAATTTTAAATTGGTATCTTTGTTCTAAAGTGAATCTTCAAAGTTTAAGGGACTTTCTTTTTATTAAGTATACTCAAAGGATATTAAATGAAAATTTTCCAATTTATTGAATTCTACTTGATTAATTATAAAAATTTAAATTATATTATTTAAATAGTAATAATTTAATATTTAATAATATTCTATTGTTTATTTTTCCCACAGAATTCACCTAGCCCCCACGTAATGTAGTTTTTTTTAGAGCCAACGCCTAGCTCGAAATTAATGATTTTGGCTGAATGTCAAGATCCACATTCCCCATATGATATCATGTTATATTTTAATACGCTTTATGGTGTAAAACATAAAGCAGAAAATCCTTACAGCTTCTTCAAATAAAGATCAAATATTTACATAATAAAAAGATTAAAGTATAAAATACAATAAAAAGTTAATTGATAACATAAGAGGTAAAGGTGCAAATTTAGTTGTGAAATATTTTTTTAAGGAGCATTTGGTATTTTATACTGTGAGGTGGTGCAAAATAAATCATCAATTATCAATATCATTGCATCTAACATCCATGGTTAATAATATGATAGGTAAAAGCGTAAATTTAACTGTGAACTATTTTTTAAGAAACATTTAATATCTTATATTATGACGTGATAAAAAATAAATAACCAACTATCAAAATTGTTATATCTAACACCCATCGTTAATTTGCTCCCAAGCTTTCATCCATTCAAGCTTGAGCAAGACCCACATTTATTTATTCTCCAATAAACATTCACTTCTCTGACTCTTTCCTTCCCCTTTCATTTACCATTGGCTCCCATTCCTCTGACACACACTCTCTCTTAATCCACATCCCAACTCTCTCTCCTTCTCAAATTAATTTCTTCTTCACTTCTCATTCATCCTCCTCCTCATCCTCCTTCATGTGTATGCAATAAGACTTGAACCCAGAGTAACTCGAATAAGATTATGAATTGGAGGTTTTGTCATAGATAAAGCATTTCTTGGATTAAGAGAGAAGATAGATAAAGCTTATCAGGAAAAAATACAAAGCTCTATTTTAAGAGCTCAATAAAAGGGCACTACTCGAGACCATTTTGCTAGCCTAAGTTAATCGTTAAGATGAGTAATTTAGACTAATAAGACTTGTCCACTTTGTAAAGCTCATCATCTAGCCTCTTAAAGTATATGTTTGGGGTAAAATATGAAACGTTGCCCACATAAGTTACAGGGCTAATTAGGCTGAGTAACTGAAGTGTTAGGCCCAATATAAAAAAAGGACTAGCCCTGAAGCTCGATAAAGGCCATAATAAATAAACATGTTGAAATCCTGTCAACTGCAAACATTAGACTGTTGGCACAAAAAGACACGATTTCAATTAATATTGAAATCTACAGACTTCACGCCCAAGTATCTCAGTGAAACAGGCTGATTACCAAAATGGAGAGCATGGAATCGTTGAGTTTCACAATATTTTTTATTCTTCAACAGAACATGCTAGATCTTAAGGGAGAGACTACCACTACTCTGACACTATAAATAGAAGATGAAGACACACAAGAAAAGAGTCAACACTTAACCAAAGACTCACATTTTACATGTTTTGGCCTTTAAGTTTATCCATTAATTTTTAGTTTAAACTTGTAATTTCTCGTACTTTAATAAAATCTAACACTTGTTCTACCAAAGTTTGTATCTTTTTACATTCAAATGAACTGTGATAAGAAAGCTCGGGACCCTTTTTGTTATTAATTGAGACTCAACGTCTTTAGCATGCTTGATATTTATTGTTCACGCACGAACAGTATACCATCTCAAATTCTCCACCTTCTTTTGTAGCCACCAACATCTCCTCCAACAACCTAGTGTTTATCATTTGTCTAATTAGGGAACCAAGAACAGGGCAATTATTTTGCGTGTGGAGTGGATGATCAATGAAGAGAAATAAAGGCCTTTATAGTGATGACTAGAGAGGGTTCTGGTGACTTCGCAACCAAGAGAAAGGGTTACAGAGAGGTGAGAAGGAACAATGAGCCATTTATAAGTGGGGATGATCGATAGTGGGTAAAGAGAAGATGTTGAGGAAAGGGCAAAGGAGAAAGGATAGCCTAGTCTGAGTCCTAGGGTTATCATGGTAGAGAGGCAGAAAGAGAAGAGCCTTTACACAAGAGGAGGTTATCTGAGATAAGAAAGTCATCAGACTTAAAAGGATGAAGAGTGTCATAATGAATATTAAGGGTGAGAGGTAGCGTTCATGGCTCCATGCACCCTAGAAATGAGAGTGAGTGAGAGTAAGAGAGAGATAAAGAGAGAGAGAGAGAGAGGGAGAGAGTTAAATGAATGTAGACCCCACAATTTTAAGAAACAACCATTTGTCAAAAATAAATGGAAAGTGCCAAACACTCTATTTTTGGCACTTGATGATATATTTTGCATTACTCCATAGTATATCATATACTTTTTAAAAAATAGTTCATGTCTAAATTTACATATTTACCCTAACATAAGGGATTAAATGCAGTGGATAGCTAATGTAGACCGAGAAAGTGAAAGGGGAAGAGAATGTAAAAAAAAGATAAATGGATCAATAGAGAG